ATAATTATACCAACACATTCAAAAGGTAAAGAAACATTGTCCAGAGTTTATGGTTTTATTATGTCTGCAGTGCATGAATTCCAATATTTTTCCCATAATGTCAGCGGATGTGCATGTGCAAGTCATTAGCCACTGGCATCATGGGAAAAAGAAATGCTATATGGATATTATGTATTGTAGACATAATAAAACCATAAAATGGCCCCTAAAAATGTTTATTTACTTAATATTCAAACATACTAGTATAATGTAAGGCAAATGCAAAAAAAAAAAAAAAAAAAAACACTACTTGCGCATGCGCAGGTCAATACCCCATGGTATGGGGGGGGGATGCTACATTAGCCTACGAGAACGTTCAAATGGATTTGGAAGTAGGTTCGAACGTATTTGCAAAAAGGTACTCGAAAAATACAAACGTATTTATTTGCAAGTACGTATTTAAATATGCTCGAACGTATTTATTCGTAAAAAAAAAAAAAAGATCGAGATTGGCAGTTCCACGCTTCCGTGGGAAAGCGACAAATTCGAATCGAGCTCATTGAAAAATAATGCCTGTATCCGTTCATCACTCATGCGCTAAATCCATTTAGGGATCACTAACAACCCCTCCACGTTACGTTTTTAAAATTTGAACTGGGAAAATGCAAATTCAAATAAGAAATGTGATGACGCAAAATGACCGTTACGTACCTGGGCTCGAATTCCCAAGGGAGGACTGCAAAGAAAAAAAAACTACTAAGCATCAAGAGAAATTACACCAGCATTTTAAAAACAATGAATACGCAGTCTTTTCCCAAACGAAAGAACACTAAACCCACAAAAAGCGCGCCTGCCACTGAGCGGTCCGTGAAGACTGTCACTACTTCCTGCTGGTAATTTAAATCAGACTTTACAGACTCAAAAACATAGTCGTATTTGTGGCAGAACTTCAGCCCAGGGTCCGCATGCGTTTCCTCAACTAAATTGTTGTGCAACTGCAACTTGTGCGCCAATTCGATTTAAATAGCAAGCTAACATCTTCAAATTACGCAAAAAACAAAACAAAACACAAAAACAAAGGCAAACGAAATCGCAACTAAAACACACATTCACACGACACCCCGGCCGGTAATAAATGTGGTCCAAATATTTAATCTGGGAAAAATGTATTGTTTCTGAACAAAACCGCAAAGTCGCTAACGCCGCAGCTAATGCTAGCCAAATCCGAAGTTTACTAAACATGCTAATGTAAGAACAAATTATAACTATATAGGAAAGCAAGCAAATCGCTGGAGGTTCGTGCGTTTATCATATACAAAATACATGACGAACATAAGCGGCTGAAAGCATTAGCTTTAGCTCGACATATTTTTGTATTTTTCCGATTATTTACTTCACTTTCTTACCTCCGCCATGTTTGCAATCCTGCAGGGGTCATGCGAGTACCCGGATGGAGAGCCCCGCCCACCTGAACTCCACAACGACGAACGTCGTTCGTTTGTGGAGTGACTGCTGTGCCGTTGCTTGCGTGGAGGCACTACGCGTCATGTTCTTGTCACAAAGGAAACAATGACCTTAATTTACTGTAAATGTTAGAATCTATTGCGTATCTGATAGAAATGCAAAATTTTAGCTGACCAATATTAATTTCAAATTCATATCTCCTCTAAACTTACATGAAACTCACTGCAGCTCTGGCTGTGTTTATATTATCCTATTACTAGCATAATGTATCATAATATGGTGTCATAATTCATTAACACGGCATTCCAAGTAATACAACATGAAGCGGGATATTAAATTATCCTTACTAAACAATGGATGTCCAAATCTTATCCACTGAGGGCCAAATGCAGGCAAAAAAATGGATGGAAGATGGGGGCCACTACAGCTTGTGTTAATGAACTGTACAAAAAAAAACCCTTCACTATGCACGAGCTGTGGCTTATCCCAGTGGGCAAAAGACAGACTACACCCAAGATTGGTCATCCTCATGAGTCAATCACAGGGCACATACTATTTATACAGAAAATTTATACAGTAGTTGATTCAGTTTTTCATGTTTCCTGAAAAAAAATGGAAAAATGATACCGCTCAACCATCACTGAGCAGGAACTGATGTCTGCACGGAAGTCCAGCGATTGTAGCGCTAACCCGTGACAATATGAAAATTGCTCCTGAATTTCATTGCAAATTATATTTGAATTCAGAAGTCATAAAAAAATAAAGACAACCAAGTAAATTGGTATGTTACGAAAAGATTTGGTGGGGGGAAAAAAAACATGTCATTTGAATAATAATTGAAGAAAAATTGCACTTCTCATCCGTATTTTTTCCTAAATGGAAAAGAACAAGTCCATTTAATAAAAACGATAATATTGACACTTGATTTGCTTTAGTGGGCTACAAAAAAAACAAAGTGGCGGGCCAAGTCTGGGTCCTGGGCCTGGTGGTTGGCATAATTTCTCTCGGTCAACACGTAAACTTAGCTGTTATGAATCAAAACCCCGAACTATGAGGCAGATATGGTAAACATAAGCGCTCCGTGCTACCTCTTTCTCTCATCTGGAACACAAACAGCACACAAGAAATAAGTAAAGATGTTCAACTTTCTATTAAATATAAAATGCTTGTGATAAGATAATGAAGATCACACATCGGCAAACAACCTTCCGCACTCACAGTCACACTTTGGGACAATTTAGAGTGTTCCGTTAACCTGCCATGGATGTTTTTGGAATGTGGGAGGAAACCGGAGTACCCGGAGAAAACCCACACAGGCACAGGGAGAACATGCAAACTCCACACAGGAAGGCCGGAGCCCGAATCGAACCCTGCACCTTTGCACAGTGAAGATGACGTGCTAACCAGTTGACCACCGTGTCGCCCTATTTCGACACAATGCAAATTAAAAAATAGAGTACAGTGCATCATTTCCACCTGCTCGTCTACAATCTTAAATCTTAATCTTGCATAATGTTTACATGTGTTTTTTTTTTTTTGCATGAGTCACTCCGATTTAATCACCTGGAAATGCAGGTGTGCTTTCTCAGAATCACAGATTCTGTTCATGATAGTATCCACAAACTCTTTTATGTTGCTATGTGTACAGCCAGAAATACTTCCAAGTGCACCATTAAGGCAACAACGAAAAGCCCTGCACTTCTGACATAAATGAGCTATTTCCTCCCCTTAACATTTACAAAATGTTATGACCTCTCTCATGGCTAAGATTAAAATGCCAATTATGCAAGATGACACCACTTCCTGGTGAGTTTGTGTCACATCATTGTAAATAAAAGGCCTCTTCAAGACAGCTGTTTTTGAGGAGAACGTCTGTCTTGTTTAAGCGTATCATGAGGTCCGGGTTGCCGATGGCCATACTGCTGTGCGTGGTGTGTGCAGCGCAGGGTCAGGTGCCGGCGAACGCAAACGCACTACGGCTGTGTGGTCGGGCGCTGTTGCGGGCCGTGGTGTTCACTTGTGGAGGATCCAGATGGAGACGACTGACGGGAGACGCCCTCACGCATGGTGAGTGTGCATCCGCTAATCTCCGCAACATATTAGGGATAATCAGATTTCAGATTGAACTTCAGAATGAGACTTAAAGTTGACCTTCTGGAAACTTAAATGCAAACGTTCCAACTGCTCAATGTTTCAGTACTAGCGAGGAGCGGAACAGCAACATTCAGAACAGGGACTTGAGCCATGAATCAACCAATACATTTCCATGGACTCAATATCGTTAAAATTGATACCAAGTCAGATTAATCAACAAAATAACCAACAGATGAATTGTTATTTAATCTTTAGTTGCACCCCAATAAAATACAATGCTGGAGGTGATTTTTTACTGTCGCCAAAGATTTCTGACTGGGCTCTAACACCCTTTTAGCCTGGTGTAGCACCGTGCCTGGTTACATGAAATACATGAAGAACAAATAGCTTACAATCGTGTGTGAAAATGAAAATGATGTCTAACCTTGTGCCGCTGATGCATGCTGAGTGACAGGAACAAAAATCATATCAGCCATGTCAAATAAATATTCTAATTGTTTTTTTATTTTGCAAATACTTATACAGTCTACATTTCTGAATGAACTAGTCCATTTTAATTCAAGTTGACAGCTGACTGCATGCTCCACATGCAATAAAATGATGAGCATGCAATTAGTTTGCGGTAGATGGCTGAAAGTGGCTGCTGAAAACAAATACGTAAAAGTATTTGTTGTCAGCCCCGGTTACGGTGCAATTTAGGTCGATCCTAAAATTTCACATGAAAGCACTCACTCTTTGGTGTAAGGTGGTTACAACTTAAATGATGAGCATGCAATTAGTTTGCGGTAGATGGCTAAAGTGGCTGCTGAAAACAAGTACGTATTTGTTGTCAGCCCCGGTTACAGTGCAATTTAAGGTTGATCCTGAAATTTCACATGCAAACACTCACTCTTTGGTGTAAGAAGGTTACAACTTGAGCAGTGGTTGACAAATGTTTCAGCAGACAGAGGCCACCCAAACTTCAAGACAACAGATGCAGTGCCAATGATGGCTCGATATCGGCGTGACCAAGACCAGGCCTTGGTAGCGGCCTGCTGTCAGAGAGGCTGTCAAAGGAGCGACCTCTCTCTGCTCTGCTAGTTGGCCGGCATCACCTGACACAGGGATTCATTTGTTGGGAATGAAAGCATCCCTGATTTTGAGTCAAAAATAAAGACTGAATGTTGTTTACGAAATGTTACGCCTTTTTTAAAATCTTTGTTCAAGACAATCTTGCTTCCGGTCATGTGTTAAGAGAGTAACGCGTTACTCTAATACATTCATATTTTACAGTAATGACTAATTTAACCCTTACTTTTCTCAGAAAAGTAATCTGTCTACTGTTACTTTGCAAGATCAGAATTGGTTACTGGATTGCAGTTCACAGAGAATTTATTGTCACTTATCATTCATTTCCAAAGTGATTGTTGGGTTGTTGGGTGCAGCAGTAAGAGGCATCTGACGATACTTGAATAGGAATCACGTTAAGGAAGCAGAGTGATTTCCGTTTTCAAGCTGGAAATCCAGTCACTATCTTCAGTTTATGTCAGATGAAGAAAATATTATGGTACATTGCACACAGTGCTGTTGACCAAGTGTTATCTAGTTTCCAAAACTGATCGCAGCACATGTAAAACTAAAGCGAAAGACCCACAAGGATGTGTGACTAACTGGATGAGGTCCCCAAGTCAGTGTACAGTATTTGTAAAACAATGTACTGTACATTATAAATGTAGGGTGGACCATGATGAATCTAACGTAGTTACTTTTAAAATCAAGTAATCAGTAAAAGTTACTTTTCCAACGTAACTGGGGCAACACTGGATTGCTTCACTCAAAGTAAACAGCATAGACACTGGCCACGCCATACAGAGATGTGTTCTTGAAAGACCAAGACGCAAAGGTGTCAGTTGCAGGGTCCCACAGACAGCGGCTGCTGATCTGCATGCTCTGCCCAGCCAGCTGGCCAATGTGAGCCAAAACAACCAGCTTGTATCTGCGGATCATCAGGTCCTTCACCCGGGATCTGATCACCTAAAGGAAGACATCCAAAGGAATCAGCCTGGACACTCACCAGAAAGTCTGATTAGTCTTGTCATTACTTCCGGATTCCTGGTGGCTGCTTACCTCACAAATCGTTTTAATCATCTGCCGGGACCATTCCACTTCATATTTTTCCTCTTCGAGGTAGCTTGTGAGTACATCCTTAAGTATTTCCACAACTGCAGGGGCAGGGAAACGTTTGCGGGGTCCTGTTATCAAAGCACACATGAATGAGTAGATGAAAAATGTGCTTGGGCTGTCTCAGATTTTTAGAGGCAAAAGACTACCACTTAAGAGGCAATTCTGGAGCCTCCATAATCCTTTTTTGGGGAGGGGTGGTGTAATTAATTGCGACAGGAAGGTCCGTATTTCCCGAGAATATACATACAGACAGACAGACAGACAGGCAGGCAGGCAGGCAGGCAGATAGATAGATAGATAGATAGATAGATAGATAGATAGATAGATAGATAGATAGATAGATAGATAGATAGATAAGATAGATAAGATAGATAGATAGATAGATAGATATTTGTTATTTGTGTGAATTCACCTAACTGGTAGGTGTTCTCAAGAGTGACAACCATCCGTTCGTCATGGTGTTCATCTATGCCGGACACATTGCTTAAAGAGCTGAAAGACAGGTGATGTTGAAAGACTATCAGTTTAAGTCATTTCTTTAGGACTTGAAATCGCAAATAGCATTTTCAAGGGGACGTTAATGAGAAATAAAATGTTTTGCTAAGAGGTGTAAAGTTGTAAGGATCGGAGGGTCGACTCACTCCTTGGTTTTCCCAGCCGTGTTTTTGACTCCGTGACTTCCCTCCGAAGGCACCCTGCTGGTCTTCTTGTCTCTTCTGACAGATTTATCTTTGTGCACATCAGACATTTTTTCAAAACCAAGAGCTCAAATATCCAACAAAATATGCGGAGATGAAAACAAAAATAAACAAGGAGCGAACTTCCATTTCAAATCAGCACGTTCGCATTTATGATCATCTTGTTATTTGTAAACCGACACTTTTGCATCAATTCAAACAAAACACCGTTTAAACGCGTTACGAATGCAGCAGGCGTTTTACCGTTAGGCGTCGTCATGACAATTCGGGGGCGGGGCTTCCTTCACGGAAGTTGGATTTATTTATTTTTAATGTATTTATTTTTACAGTTTAATTTCCCGTGACCAAAATGAAACATTGGAATAAGCATCATCAAACGTTTATTGGGTTTGTTTAGTTCGTTTAGTGTTTTATCATGTAAATTTACGACAAAACATACAGAATGTCATAAACTTCGATGTCGGAATTACGTATCGCATGACGAAGTGCATCGACAGATATAGAATCACAGTAATGATCACAGATGAATGGATTGACGTTTTTTACGTTTTGTTTAAAATACTTCAGTGTTCATTTACTTCTTATTTTACATGACATAAAAATAAATCCATACTCTACTGTCAAAACATTTTCACAGCAGTAAATTCAGTTCTTTTTTTCAGAGCAAAGTTGTATTGTAACATGTTAATATACATTTGCATGCACTTCTGAAGGAAAATTAGGATTATTGGGATTTCGAATGAAATTGAGGAATAATCTAAAGTGCACTATATCCTTTGCAGTTGAACTTTTGTTTTTGACAATGAAGTTTACCTGCTCAGGATTTAGTGTATTTTAGGTTCATCCTGAAATTTCACCCAAAAGTCCCAATATCCCGAACATTTTGTGAGCAGTACAAATGTACAAATAACAGACATGAACTTGTAGTATTTTCTTTTCTTTATTACCCAAGTAGAACAGGAATTACATTATATTGATTTTTCACATATTTACTTTCAAAATCTTTGGATGGGAAATGTACGTTAAATGTTTGCATATTCTCTGTGTATTTAAAGACAGACAGCCATTAAAAACATCATGTTCAATATGCTCAAAGATAAGGCAAAGAAAATAGAAGCAATTTAAATTAGCCGTTCTTACACGAGGCCTGAACTGGGAGTCAACATTGATGATTAAGTCTGAAGATGACACAATGAAATATAAATGAAAGAAATATCAGGGGCTTTGTGTGCAGGTCAAACATCTCCATCAGAGTGCGGGAACATTAAAGACTACATGCCGAATTCAATGACAATACGTTTCTCCGTAGCAAACCAGGGTAGGCGTTTACATGAAGTAATAGCATGGTTTTACAATAATACACTGCATCATGACGCTTTTGACATGGAGAAGCATCACAATAAAGCAACTGACTTCATGCGGCACCGGAGTTATTCCTGAACAGTAACACTTGTTTTTGTACACGAGACACACAAGGTAAACAATAGATGAGGAGAAACAGTGTTGACATATCACATAACCGCCTTAGGATGACATCAATAAACAAACAAGCACAGACACATATCCATATGTCTAGAGAAATATTTGAAACATAGCTCTTTATCTACACTTTTTACACTTAAATATCTCAATATTGCTTATTAGAAAAATGATTCAACGCAGAACCAACAGGGTCAAAATAAAAGTAGTCACAGCAGGTACATACATATGCAGGATCAGTTTTTTTTTTTTCCTGGTACACATTCGTCACTTTTGATGTCCACCAGTTAACCAAGACCTCCGTATAAGATCAAAACCAAGTTAGCAAGCAGCATTACAGTAGATAGAGTATTACTCTTGAAATGACAACCTCCTTTCCCTAACATATGGCACAACCCTTGTTGATCTTAAGGCTCAAGTGGACAACCAACACAAAGTGTCAAAAAAAAGTCGTTCGTCAATCACACGCAGCTAAGGATTTTTTTTCCTTTCTTTTTTTTCATTTCACGTGCCCCACAGTGTTGTGATATTTTCCGTATTTTCAGGACCATAAGGCGCGCTTAAAAGTAACCGAGACTGCGCCTAATAATACGGTGCGGCGTATGGTCGTAAAAATACAGTTTGTTGTCGAAGCCAAAGTACTGCAGCTGATCGATTGCCAGTCTCTACTCCTTATCCACACAGGCCTTTCAAATGAGTGGCAAACGGTTCATATTTTTAAAAATATATCAGCTTTAATGTTAATTAAGTTTCAGTTTTAGCAGAGATGTAAAAATTAGTGTGTGTACGTGTGTTTCAATAATCTCTAAATTAATATCATTCCATCAGAAAGTAACCCTCCCTATAATACACAATTTGTACATTTTCCACTTTAGGATTGTGGTCATAATATATAATCTACAAAAGTAGGGAGGTTTGGCTGTATGGATTCACTATTACGTTTCCAGGACTCCTTTAGGGCCCAAAAGTGTTTCAAGTAACAAACTAAATATTTGGCATACACTCAGCAGGCCTTTTTCCACTGATGCGTGCCGTAAAGTTTAAAATACATGAAATTACTTTATTTGTCTTCAGAGTCAAAAAACACAGATTCACCGTTTGTGCGCTTGGACAGGTCCGCTAATTATCTGCCAAATATTTCCCTGTGAAAAAAAAAGCATGTTTAGGAAAAGTAGAATGATTCAAATTGATTTGAAAAGAAACACGTATGTCTAATTCATACTGACCTGCAGCAAACCTCTTCTTAATCAGGGAGAGCCTGTAGCCTGTCCCGAGCAGCTGAATATCACAACCGGACATCGTGCTGCCCTCACTGGTGAAGTGAACTGCCAGCTGCGAGGGTTTGCAGAGACCCTCAGTCATCTGGAAGCGGCCCAGGAGAGCCCCTACTCCTACAGGACACAAATGCAGCCAAGACAGATGTCATCACAAATGATTGTGTGTTGTGAATGGAACACATGGGAATAGAATAGATTTGATAGCATCGAAAGGATTTCAAAGGTAACTTGCCTCCATTTTCAGACCTATTCGAAAGACTGGGAATCTTCCATTGTATCATCTGTTGCTCTGGATTCCTTCAAAAATAAAAATAAAACAGTATTTATATATGAATATTAATAATTAATATATGTAATTTTTTCTAGCAATGCCAGATTCTTTTAGCAGTAAGCTTGAAGGTCACAATGTTAAGTGCTGTTTCAAATCATCTTTCTCCACTGAAATGAATGGAAATGCCATTAATCCGTTCCGGCCTCTTGGGGGGGGGGGGGGTTGTGTTGTTTTGAGGGGTTGTTACGTGGAAAAATGGCACTCTATAGTATTTTACTTCATTAAAAACATACAGTAATGACATAATTAAAAATAATGTTTGTCACACTTTCCCCTTCAATGCACATTGTACTGCTCATTTTGGTGTGCGTATCCTGTGAGTCTCTACTTTGTTGGGTTTGATAGAACAACAAAACCAAACAAAGCTACATAATAAGTTGTGAATAAATATTACTAATATAGAAAGCCCTTACCAGGTGGCAGGTGGGACCATAGCCTGGAGTTTAGCTACGCCTCCATCGACCGGAACCAGAAAGTGGAGATTGTGAAGGGGAGCTGGGGTCGCCATGGCCTCTGTGTTGTATTTGTAGTCTATCCTTAGGTCTGTGTTGCCGGCATCGCCACGCCAACTCACAGCTAGATTGAGAGGAGTGGACTGGATTCCATCTGCTGACACCTGGAACACACAAAGGTAAGGATCTTGATGGATGGATGGACGGATGGATGGATGGATGCAGTAATTAAAGGTCAAACACATGACTGGATAGATGGATACCTGATATTTGATCATATCCACATTGTAGTATGTTGCCTGGGGCTTCTGCTCAGCCACTTTCTTAAGATGACTCATCAAGTTTTGCATATTCACCCAGAACTCCTTGGTGTCTACACTGTCTGTTGGGGAATCACTAACAGGATCAGAAGAACAGACACGATTCAGTGATTTGATTTTTAAAATATGAAATCAAAATGTTTCCTTTGCTGCGTACTCCTACCAGCACAGCAGCTGTGGATTGGGGAGGACCTGCTCCAGTCGGGTATAGTTGCTGATGCTAAAGATGAGGACAGGTTGAGTCGGGTGGCTGGCAAAATGCCTGGTGATGCCTGCCGGGAAGGAGAGCACCAGTTCCCCGGTGATCTTCACTACACACCTGAAAGAGGAGGAAAGAAAGAGGCCGGTCAGAGATCGAAACAGTAAAAATTCACTTCAAAAACTGATTGTAGAAATTGTATTTATTGTGTGCATTACAATATAATATAAGGGTGATGAGTAAATATCGGTCATGGCATGTTCTACATAAGCCAAAATGTGGGCCTACTTGCTGGGGTCCGCGCCTTTGAAATAGGCATTAACAGTTTCTGTGAAGGCAGCTGCCACTGGCAGAGTGTCCTGGGGTCCCATGGTAAGTGGGCTGGGCCCTCTTGAACATCCTAAATGGGTCAAACACAGTTACACATAAATACCTTCATACCAGCTCCATCAGAGCAAATCGTCACCATCAGGTTATACAGGAGCCTATCAGCAGGCTTTTAAGGCAAAACAGTTCCAAACAAAGGAACATGAGCAGGACGTGGGATGGGATGAGCAATGAGGTTGATTATTTTCAACTGAAGCGTGGACAGAACCTCACCGCCATTTTAACCAAATAGTACGGTTCAATTGCATTGCTAGGCGGAAGCGTGTCGCAAGGAGCCGATTGCATGCATACAGAAACAGTCTGACTCGACTCACCCTCTAAAGCTAAATAAAATCTGCCGTGGTCAAACCAGATCAGAGGCTGTCTGGTCTCTAAGCGAGTGGACACAGGAGGAAAGACCAAAGGAGAGAGACATGGCGATGTGATCCAACGACACAATGATGAGCAAGATGGATACACACGCAGCCAGAGTGTACCTGCGTTGGATAGATTGAGGTCCCTCCCTAAAGTGGGCGTGGACGCCGCACTATGTGACGTTATGGAGGAGATGGAGGAAGAGCTCTCGGCCCGGGCCAGTGGCGCAAAAGGCGGAGGACTTGCAGAGACTGGAGGACTGAAGGGCGGAGTCTGGATGCAAAACATAGCTTGATTATGGCAAATTGCCGCCATGAACACGCAATAACATGTGAATTTGAGTGTCACATATGGTTGTGCTATTGCTCGTCTTAGCATTTCTCTCTCTCTGTCAGGTGTAAACATGGTTGCCTTGTGTGCAACATCGGCAATAAAAATAAATGTATTTTCACAGGCTAACTGCAAGACTTTCGGTAAGGAAAATGCAAGGTCAAAGGTCAAACCTGGGCACAACACATACCAGGTCTGGGATTGGCTTTCCGGGGGGCAACTTTGGCCGCGAGGACGGCCGTGGGGGAGGAGGTGGAGGGACCGGACTGCCTCGAGACTGCGGCGTGGCGGAGCGGGCTGGTGAAGACGGGCCTGAGGGACAAACCAGTGTCTGAGGTGAGCACTGCCTTAATATCAACGCAGGGACAGATTTATGTTCAATTGACATCAACTGACTTTTCTTGCTTGCTGAACGACTACAATGATAAGGTCACAGAGGTTCTTGTATAAGCAAACCCATGTTTTGGGGAATGGTATTTCAACCATCTTTTAACTAGACTTTGTTGATCGCAGCACTAGATGGCAGTAAAAGTTAAAAACTAACCAAAAAAAAATAACCTATCGTGCTTTTCAGAAAACCCCCAAAATGTTATCCATCCATTTTCTGAACCGCTTTATCCTCACAAGGGTCGCGGGGTGTGCTGGGGCCTATCCCAGCTGTCTTCGGGCAGTAGGCGGGGGACACCCTGAACCGGTTGCCAGCCAATCGCAGGGCACACAGAGACGAACCACCTTCCACACTCACATTCACACCTCGGGACAATTTTGAGTGTTCAATCAGCCTGCCATGCATGTTTTTGGAATGTGGGAAGAAACCAGAGTACCCGGAGAAAACCCACGCAGGCACGGGGAGAACATGCAAACTCCACACAGGAAGGCCGGCGCTGGAATCGAACCCGGTACCTCTGCACTGTGAGGTCAACGCGCTAACCACTCGCCCACCGGGCCACCCCCAAAATGTTATTTATTTATTCAACTGTTTATTTATTTAACAGCACATATTCCATTGTCCTACTGGTTGCCCTTTCTCGGATGTACACAATACTTTTGAGGGCATGTCACACGACAAGTAAATATGTAAAGAGCTCAATACTCACAGCTACCTGAGTAAGGCCCAGGGGAAGACATAATAGATCGGTATGTGGTCGGGGGAAGAGGAGGTGGAGTTCCACGGAAGCTCGGTGTTAGCTCTCTGGGTGAACCAGTGAAGTCTGGGATGTCATCTCTCAGGTACACTCCCTCTGGTGTCCTTTTCCCCCCTGCTATCCCTAAAACCAGGGGCGATACAACTCCTGCTCGAGGGGACCTTCTCTCCGCTGGCAGAGGAGGCACTGGACTTATTGATACTGGAGAGGGTGTGTAATGTGCAAACTGCAGCACCTCCTCATCAATCGCCTCCTCATCAAGGCAGACTGCTGGTGAACTTGTGGGAGAGAAGTAAGGAGGCAGGGGAGGGGCTGGTTCATCCGGTGGAGGAGGTCCCAACATGATGGAAGGGCATGAGTCCAGTGGCGTAAAAGGAGGCGACGACTCAGGAGAGAACACCGGAGGTGAAGGCGGGGGCTCATCGGGAGGTGGTCCAGGCGAGAGGCACGGGCTGGAGGGTGTGGACGAGGGCGTGTCAGGGGCAGGAGAATCCGGCGGAGGGGGCGGCGCGGGCTCATCCGGGGGTGGAGGTCTGTCGTTTGTGAAAGTAACCCATCTGGTGGATGCCGTGTCCGCAGCCGTGCGCGGGCTACCCACGGGGCCAAACACGTCATCGAGGTCAGGGGCTGCGGAGCCTCGGTAGGAAGAGGGGGACAGGACGCTCAGGTAGATGGGGGCAGAACTGCGACTTGCTCTGCCATTGGGTAAATCAACTGCAAAAAATAATAACGATGAACTCGGGCAACTGTATTCACATTCAATCCACAATTGCACTTGGAGGGCTATTTACCAGCAGATTGTGAAGGATAGCCTTGACGCTGCGATATCATGTGTTTGGGAGGGAGTGGGGGTGGAGCTGCAACGACGATTGGACACAGGTCTTAATTTTTCAGCAATTCCGAATATTTATTCACAAACGTACCTCCTGTAGGGAAACTTCTGCTCAAAGGTGACTCGGATCTTGGCCTTGATCCTCCCCAGACATCAGCAGGAACCACTGCAGAAATGATGACCAATATTGCCTCCGGCATAGCTTTATATGCATTCATGTGACGAGTTCCAATACCATCATATCTGCCATACTGGCTCTCTGAGGGCAGTCCAAAGAAGGCAGGGATGTTCTGTGGTAGTCTGCCACTGCAAAGGGAATGCAGTAAAATCTGATTCTTTTGAAGTGATTGATTTTTTTCATGTTCGTACAAACGAAGGTGGATCATGTTTCAAAGTTCGACCGGCTGAGGTGTACACACAATGTAGACCCTGTAGAAAGCCTTTGTGGGCTCTGACATTCAATATATTCAGGATGGTTAGTAAATAAGAGACAATCATGAAAGACCTTGGGGTGTCAGGGGCAGGACTCGGCGTGTGGGTAGAGCGTCTCGGCCGAGCAATCTCTTCACCTAGAAGAAACCGGCAGATGAATGGCTGCTTTGTAAAGTTGTCATCAAAAAGCAAACACATTCAGATGCACTTACATGACAGGTGCCTCTTTATCCGTCCCTGCAAAAGGATAAAATAAATCACACCAAGAAAAATGGTAACATCGCCATCCTAAATCCTTTTTTTTTTTTTCAAGATGGAAAATCTTGTGTTGCCGTTTATTTGAAATATAAGCCAAAATGTGGCGCTTTGCTTCATTCCATCGAAATTTGTCGGGTCGGTGAGTGGGCCTGAACTGAAAGTGTTTTGAGTGTCATGAAAAGTGCTTTAAATGAAGTCAACATCACCTCCTTCACATATTTTCAAGCTACCTCCAATTGTCATCACTTTTTTGAGCGTGTTCTCAGACTGTCTGGTTGTCAGCCTTTGTGCACTGCAGAGAAGATGAGAACTTTCGGGGTGTCGGCTTTGAAAAGTCAGAAGGCGATGCCACAAACTCACCGGGCTGCGTCTCTGAGACCGGCAAAAAGGAAGAGAGAACAGACCTGGGTCAGAAAGTGAGTGACAAATCAGTCAAATTCACATCAACTAAAAACTGCACACAGCGTTCCTCTTTACTTGCGGTACAAGGCTCTTATAATGCAGTGTGAGCCATAACACACAAGAGATTAACGACAAGGACGGCACGATCGTGTCGGTTTCAATGAGACTGCCTCAGTCCTAAGGAAGACTTGTGAGTTATGTTTGTATGCATTATGTGACGGCCGTGTCAGTAAAGCCGCACAGTATATTCAGCCACAGACATTACTCATGCAAAATAGGGTGCAGCTAAAAGGTCATTTGTGGCAAGCATCATTCAAACTGTTTTGTAATTTACAAATAAAGAAATCAATAAATTGATTAAAAAAAAATTCAAATGGCTTACCGGACTTCTCTTCTACAGGAAGACAGGAGTTCAGTTTAAAAAAATGACATGAATGTAAAATAGAATGAGATAAACAACAAGAGAAATCCGAAAGATCTTATTTTCTTTAAAAAAAAAAAAAGAGCTTTGTTCATGAGTTTTCTCACCAGAGACGGAGAGAGCGCCAAACCTCCCACTGAGGCTTTTAGCTCATCCAGTGACGGAGGGATGCACTTGGCACTCTCAGCGGCCAGTGGTTTGATCTTGATTTGGAATTTTTTCTTGCTTTCTTCATCGTCCTCTGAATCGCTGGAGGAGAAAAACTGCTTTCCCGTGGAAGCTGGTAAACATTTGTCAAGGACAGAGGAAAAAGGGTGCTTTTGAAATGAAAGAACGTGAGATGTTAGGCTTGGTATGGAGAGAAGAGAGATGTTTACCTGGTTACTTAAGGTTTTGTTTCAGGTGCAGTGGTTGTGAAGGCTCTATATATAAAAATAAAGCTGTATAGTATTGTGATGTATTCCTTTTAGCATAGCTCCACCTAGTGGATGCATAGCGCAACCGCAGCCACTATTGTAGCTTCTATTTAGTGCGCACCATCTATGAAAATAGTTTTAAAATAGGCCATTCATTGAAGGTTCGCTTTATAATCCGAAGCTCCTTATAGTGCAGAAAATACGGTTTATAAATAAAGATGTATTGTATTGTACAAAAAGGATATCATCGCCTTCATCACCAGGACGTTGGCTGAAGCCCTCTTCATCCACATCAGGCGATGCCTGAAATGACAGGGAGAAAAATGATAAATTATTCAAAGTTTCTTTTAACTATTCTCACAGGAATTCTGCAGGGGAAATTGTGTTGCAGTCGTCCGACAGATACTGACACAAGAGTTGATTTTTTTTTAAAAATCTGCCTTTAAAATTAGAATGTTTGATAAACTCTTTGTGAAAACAGGCTCACTGACATGGCTAGCTCCTGCTCTGTTAAAACCCATGCTCACAATATGCCTTGTATTGTGTGCACTGAAAAGTGAAAAAGAGGTATCAGCAAGACAAGAGGAAGCAGTGAACACTCACGTATCTGTCCCAGTCAAATTCGCCATAGAAACCGTTGGGTGCTCCATTTGTCTTTTTCTGTACAAAATGACAACAAGGAAGCTCAACATCATCAAAGTGTCACAAAGTATTAAAAACAAGAAATGCCAAATATTTTCAAAGGAAGGCGTATGATATTCTGACAGTCAAATTTATTCTGACATTTGGGAAAAATATGTATTTGAACTAGGTTCAATAAATAAATTGAAGTGAATTGCAAAGTTCTTGTGAGAACAGCCACTTTTGCGCATAATTGTAGCTTGCCATCCTAGACAGTCCCACAGTATGCTGCACAACGTAAATCCAAAAAATCCAACATATACACACGTTTCCTTTCTTTCCACTTCCGGTTCCTTCTTTGTCAGGTGAGCTCCTGTTTGAAATTACAAGAGACACACAAATAGTATGACTTGAGCATCCACATGAGTGTAGCCGTATTGTTTCTCAGTTGAGTGCCTTTGAGCAATGAAAAGCAAATTTGGTGAAGGGTAAAAACAAAAAGATCAGTAAATGTATTTATTTCATCTAAAATAAAAAAAATTAAAAAAACATTAAAAAAATCTGGATTTAGTCTTCTGCTATTCGCAAACAGTAAACAATTCCTAAGTACCACCAAAGGTTTGCATGGAACATTCAATGTCAAGCAAAGTGAATAATAGAGCCCGAAGATGTAAATATAATCAAATGTAATGCAATCGAGACAGTTAAAAATTTGACCACTACATTCTAATCGGTACGTTTTAGAGTACTTTTGTGCCAGGTGGGCAGCAGTTCCTGGAATATTATGTTGAACAAGAAAAACACTGACAGAGTGAGAGCATATTACTTCCCCTGGATATTATTCAACCAACTAATACTTTTTTTTTCTTTTGCTTTGCCTCACGTATCTCTGAGTTATTTTTACAAAAGCAAAATTATGATTGAGATTAAACTGGACTAAAGGTAGTCAATTCACAGCACAGTACAGGCAGTACAGCCCGTGAGCTAATAGGACAGTTTAGTCAAAATGAAGACAATTTCAATACAAATTGGAACCCGTCAGGATGCTTTTGGATTGGTGCGAAGAGCACTTTCCAACAGCAGCACTCAATTTGTGCTTTTGTCCACTTGCATATTGGGAATACTTTAAGTGAGAACATTGGAAGCATGCCCTCTGAGATACATCGTCATTTTCTACAGGCATGCATTTCTCATTACATTTAGCTTGTGGTCAGTATTTTTGGCAAAGGTCAATCCAGCACATTCAAGGTAACTTACGTCGCCTCTGTATCCTTGTCTTTTTTTCGTAAACCCAAGGCTTTCCTGGTTCGTTTTTTCAGTCCTAGAACACACACAATGAAAGAAAGGGAGCTCGGCATCATGAAGATTTTAGCATTAGCACCCGTAGTATCTTGACATTAAAATTTAGCAAGCAAAAGTGCAGTAACTTCGAGAAGGTTTGTGTAGATACACAAGAAATTCCCGTCAGCCACAGTCATATAACACGTGAATATCCCCAAGCTCGGGAAGTACATGTAAGATGTAACACCACGGGAGACTAACTACAGGTCATTTGCTAATTTTAGCTGCCATCATTTGCACGTTAGCACTGACGTCGTATTTCAAGAGGGGCACCTGTCATTACGGTTGACGTATATGATTTAGCCATGCCCTAGTTTATCATTGAACTGACTTCGTCCTGAAGTATGTGAGATAACTGTTAGCACAATAGTGATGCACGAGGTGCAAGATACTGTTCACCTTCCAGCCATCGTCAATACACATACAGCACATAGCCATGTGCAGACACGTACAATTACAATGATAATCAATCCCTGCGCGACAGGACACCAGCAAGACAACATTGCATCAGGGTACCATCTTTTTTGTTGTTGTTGTTTTTTTTTTTTTTTTTTTAACCACACCTCACTCGCCTTTCCATGCATTGGACATACTGCATCTTGTCAATGCACAACAAACCCGTCACCACGCTTATTAATGCACGGTCCAGGTGTCCCGAGTCGTCCGCACTGCATGACAGAGCACATCAATGAATTCAGTCCTTAATAGCCCAGCAGGACATAAGAGGGCAAGAGGAGAACGCAAGGGCTAAAAGACAGGGAGTGTACAGATTACCTTGCATCATGATTCCAGATTTTCATCCTATACTGCCGCTGGTGTGTGGATGGACACAAATGGAAATGATTCCGGCTGGTTAAAGGATGCATGGGCAGGGCATGGCTTATTGTGCATGGTTCCAGAGCTAAGCACGGATGTTGACACCCTCCTCCCCGAGAGGCCCAACTCCCATGTACAGGGATGAGAGAGGTGGGGGGGGGGGGGGACAGCAGCTGTAGAGGACAGCAAGGGGAGACTAAGCAAAAGCGAGGGAGCCGTAGGAATATTCGGCAAAATCCAGGAATAAGGGGTCCTATCAGTGCACGCTAAGTCCCGAACGCCCTGGCAGCACCAACGCATGCCATCTCTTCGAGGAGAGATGCTGACGAAAGGAAAAGGAGGAACACTGAGCGGTAAGGAGAGCGAGGAAGATTGAGGCGGGGGTGGGAGGGGAATGGGTGGGTTGCTGATGTCACAGCTGCATTAAACCAATCCCCGCATCCGTGGTCACATGGCTGCTGCCGTCCCTGATGCCTTTGGCTTCCATCTAACAGAAGCATCAGCCGAGTGCTTGCAAATTGCACATGGAGGTTACACATGTATTTAAGCAAATATTACCTATTACTATTTTTTATTTCCCACAGAATTGTGTGCATTGTGTTTCCAAACAAAAGTCTCAGCTGTTGTTTTACTTTCTAGGGCATCCATACAGTTTTACAGAAAAGTGCGGAGTTAAAATCAACACATTTCATACTGGATTGCATGACCACAAAAGTATCCAGGCCCACTAAAGAGCAAATGCATCACATGACGTAAGCTGATTGTTATAGACACATAATCAAATCATGATTTCAGTATTTTCCAATAAGTAATACCTTCAAGTACACTAAATTGATTTGTTCCAGGCTTAAACAGTCACCGGCTCAAAAATATTGACTTTGCAATGTGATAAATTTTATTTGTATACAAATAGAAGTCAACCACTGGAGATTAAAAACAAAAAAATTGGAAACCAACTCACCATTTCACAATGCCTGAAGCATCACAAGCATGGAATTAGTAACAGTTTGCTTACAAACTTCTCTGGTCAGTTCTATGCTATTCATTAGCTATATAAGCTTTTAGCTAGATGCTATTCATGTTAGCGTGTTACGTTGTTTGATGGTTGGACACTTTTGGAGGAACTCCAAATGATACAATTTTTGGGGGGGCTTGACTTTGGGGTTTCCATTGAATAATAAACTATATATTAATTTTGTGTTGTTGCTTTCTCTGTAGTCACTGATGGTGTAGTGATACACTCGCCTGAGTCGTGCGCAGGCAGCATGTGATCAGTCCACATTCGGTGATGGTATGGACGTGGGTGTGAATGGTTGTTTGTCACTGTATGTGCCCTGCGACTGACTGGCGTCTAGTTGAGGGGGTAATCAGCCTTCCGCCCAAAGTCAGCTGGGATAGGCTCCAGCAACCGACCCTGTTCAGGATAAGCGGTATTGAAAATGGATGGATTGATAGATGGATGGATTGATAGATGGATGATTTCTGTGTTGATATGATTTTCATATTTGCACTGAGACAGAAAAGAAGAGCCAGTGCTATAAAAATACATTGCTACGATAGATGATTTTCAAATGTTGCTTAAGAGAGGGGCAGAAATGGCTTTTTTTCATATCAGAAAAGATGTCTTGGGTGAGAATTTACGGGTGAAGTAGTCATGTTGACTTTTAAGATATGTAAGGTCATTTATTAATGCTTGGAGCTGTTGTTACCTTGCATGTCGCGTTAACTGTTAATGAGCTTACCTAACCTGCAGTCACAGAACGAAAACTCGTTCTGTGTGCTTCCCTTCACAAGCTCCTTACATAAGATGCCAGGACGGGGTCAAAAGTCATGCCAGCACGGATTTAGCCAAGGAGAGTAGAATAAAATGAGCTCCAGTAGCAAAGAGCTTTGGGATAGCGGTCAACTCTTGCTGCAGTTTGATGTGGCACTTACAAAGGACAAGAGTTAGTTATGATTGTGTGCGCCTCACAGGCAGGTCCAAGCTGCAAACAGTGAATCAATCTCCAATCGCCCATGTGAATATATCGCAATATCAAAAATAATGTGAATTGCAGTGCTGTGAAATCGTATTTGCCCCATTCCTGATTTCTGTGTTCTTTTCATATTTATTACATACAGTACAAAGGTTTCGGTTCGTCAAACCAATTTTAATACCACACAGAGACTACACAAGGAAATAAGAAAATGCAGTTTCTAAATGCCAATTGAATTTATTAAGGCACAAAAACAATTTCAAAACTGCCTGTCCCTATGTGAAAAAGTAATAGCCCTCCCTAGTTAAATCACAAAGTAACTGTGACTAACAACAGTTTTGGGAAAGTTAAGTTCAATTTCACAGGCGACACCCTAGCACCCCATTTGTTGAATCAAGAAATCACCTAAATAGAATCTATCAGACAAAGTGAGGTAGGCGACAGGATCTCAATAAATAAATGCATCATGTCACAGTAGTAAGAAATTAAAGAAAGAATTAGAAAAAATAGTAATTGAAATCGATCAGTCTGGAAAAGATTCCAAAGCCATTTCCAAGACTCTGAGGTTCAGTAAGCCACTGTCAGCGCCATTATCCACAAATGGATAAAACTGGGAACAGTGGCAAACATTCCCAGGAGTGGTCGACCAGCTAAAATTACTCCAAGAGTACCAAAACGACTCATCCAAGAGTTTGCAAAAGAACCTAGAACAACACTCAAAGAACTCCAGATCTCGCTGGACTCAGGTCAGGTCACAACTCTACCATTAGAAAGACGCTGGCCAAAAATGGCATCCAGGGGAGAGTTCCCATGCAGGCAAAAACCACTGCTGTCAAAAAATGAACACAAAGGCTCATCTCACATTTGCCTGGGAACACCTCGGGATCTCCCGGGAAGAGCTGGAACAAGTGGCTGGGGAGAGGGAAGTCTGGGCGTCCCTGCTAAAACTGTTGCCCCCGTGACTCGACCCCGGTTAAGCGGTAGAAAATGGGTGGATGGATGGATGGACAGGTGGGTTTGGACTTGTATTGTATCTAAATAAATTGAATTGGCATAGAAACTACATTTTGTATTTCCTTGGGTTGTCTCTGTGTGATATTAAAATTGATTTGATTAACTGAAATCTTTGTGTGTGATAAATATGCAAAGAACACAGAAATCAAGAATTGGGCGAGTACTGTACTTTTTCGCGGCACTGCATCAGTATTGAATGAAAGCGTATTTAATTCCGTCAAGCTGTATAGTCTTACATGAGGGGCTCAGCAGCCCCCTTCCTGATGGCATGAGAATTAGATTACTATGTCCACTGTGGGCGGCCCGGTCCTCCGGTGGTTGGCGCGTCAACCTCACAGTGCAGAGGTACCGGGTTCGATTCCAGCTCCGGCCTTCCTGTGTGGAATTTGCACATTCTCCCTGTACCTGCGTGGGTTTTCTCCGGGTACTCCGGTTTACTCTCATATTCCAAAAACATGCATGGCAGGCTGAGTGAGCACTCCAGGTGTGAGTGTGAGCGCGGATCGTTGTTTGTCTCTGTGTGGCCTGCGATTGGCTGGCAACCGGTTCAGGGTGTCCTCCGCCTACCGCCCGAAGACGGCTGGGATAGGCTCCAGCACTCCCCGCGACCCTTGTGAAGATAAAGCGGATCAGAAAATGGATGAATGTTCACTATGACTGTAGAACTGTTTTGCAAAGCTTTTAGCCCAGAGCAGTCCAACACTGCCACCTACTGAATGGAAGGATAGACACAGCGACAGTCATACAGTATACAGTATTATTGTTAATACACATTAGTATGAAAGCTGTGGTAAGGCTACTCGTACTGAATACAGTAGTAAAATTAAACTTGAGCAGAGTACCAATTAAACACAGCTCTTCTAAACACACTTCATTTTGCTAAATTGTTGGTCATAAGAATGAATAATTGAACACTTTTATCTGCTTTATTTCAATAAGACTTAGACTTTATATTATATATGATATGTTTTTTTTTCAAAATATGACTAAATCCATTATTTCATGAGCTTGACGATTTGCTACTTTTCCATCTTTACATAAGAAATGATTTGGCATAGAAAATATAATTGTGGTAAAATCTCTCACTCTTGTGGGTTTTGTGTGTGTGTGTGTGGGGGGGGGTGGTTATTGAAACAGATAACAAAGGGGAATTTATGTCATCATTGAAAGTGTCTTAAAGGGACATACCCATGAACGTCAGGTGAGCTGCTTGACTGCATAAAGAAGCATTTGACACAAGCACAAACATACAGGAGATATAAAAGCAAAAGGCTATACAGTACAGTACAACCAAATTTCAAAGTAAAAGAAACCTGAAAAAAATTTTCGTAGCAGACTGGCCTAACCCCCCACCCCACACCGAATAAGAGTGCAAATATATGACGTAAGACGTTGAGGTCCTGCATTGTGCCACTAGAGGGCGCATTAATACCGACTAAACGTCCTCTCAATGGAGTCGTCATACACATCTTGCATATATATGTTGACAATCACCTGTCAAAATATGAGTGGATTGCGTTAGCTAAATTTACGCGGATACATTAATCCTCTATCTTTCCAGCTTTTTTGTTTTTGATCCAATCTGCGTCATGGCAGTCAAAGAGCGCTTCGGGTTCGCAGGTGGATCAGGAGGTGGCAGTGTTATACACCAGTGAATGAACCAATTGTCTCTGGGTAGAAAAAAGTGGAACAAGGCGAACTGCGGTAACGAGAAACCACAGCTAAAAAGATGATGTAATCCATTAAAGGGGCATTCACACTCACAAAATTGGACCACGACAGACGACACAAGGTTGTGTTGCGATGACCCACTAAAGAACGAATGCAGACAGAAATGCGAGGAGGCAATAATATCTTTGGGTTACTCATTCTTAAATAATAGAAAATTGCTTGTTTTTGTTTACGGCACCATTCGTCATGTCAGATGCTCATAAGCAATGCTGAGTAGGGACAAAAACTACATAATTCGTGCTAATATGTTCAGTGAATTTCACCACATATTTGTTTGGATGTTAGAACTACTGTACAGTATTGCAGTGGTCTGTTTGTATTCCACGATACATCGTATCCACCACAAGTAAGATATATATATTATATATTTATATATAAGTGCTAGGTTTAACATAAAATCAATCGAGACTGGTCAACAGCTCCATCCATCCATCCATTCATCCATTTTTTCTTAGCATTGCTCTTCATTCGGGTCATGGGTAACCTGAAGCCATTTCCCAGCTGACTTTGGGCAAGAGCCAACTGTAAGACAATTGTGTCAGACTACTGCAGGGCACATAGGGACAAGCAACCATTCACACTTCACACCTATGGACAATTTAGTCTTTGGAATGTGGGAGGAAGCTGGACTACCCCCAGAGGAAATCCTCACAAGAACAGAAAGAACATGCAA